ACAATATTGGGTTGCGGATATGGGGTTGCGGAGGGTGGACAATCAGCTTCAACTGCAAGACTGCAAGTGCCAGTTCGGAAGGTCGCACGGCTCTATGCAGCGCAGAGAAGCCGCAACATGCAGCAACTGTGCCCTGTTGCTGTTGCCGGCAGCCAGGTCTCAAATGCTGATGATTCGTGGTACGTTTTATAAATCCGTGTAATCTGAGAAGCAGTGCTCGCCCGCCTTTCGGCAGGTACAGCGAGATGGATGCCAGTGGAGATGGCGTAATCGATCCCCAGGAGAAGGGGTGGCCAACGGGCGAGGAGACAGAAAAGGTTCACGACATGGAGCAGTTCTTGGTGCAGGAGTTTTCGCTCTTCTTCATGTCGATGGAGCGGGGCATTCTGGATGAGGAGCTGTACCTACCGTATCTTCGATCTGCCCGACATGGCCTATGTAACCCCTACATAAGCCGTGCTGTTTGTCGCTTGGCAGGCTTCGGCCAAGGAGGTGCTGCCGGAGCCGCCGGTCCCTTCCCTGCCCTCGAAGCCAAAGGCTCCGAGAAAATCCGCCGGTCACCAAGCGAAGTGCGCAAAGCTGCGCACATCATGGAGCCCGGATCCGCCGGATCCCTTTGCTTTCAGGTCGTGGAGCCAGTGCAGTTCACAGATGAGCTTCTCTCTCGACTCTTCAAGAGCCTTCTCGTGCCTTTGCTTAGCCATACGCACGATCCGACCACCGTGCAGCATCGCGAAGTGAAGCGTAATTTCCCGATGCAGGCGCCGGGGACCAACAAGCTCTCGGAAGAGGCTTTCACTCAGATCATGCGCTGCTACTTGAAGGCCAGCGACCTTTGCCATAGAATCGAAGTGTCCGCAAAAACCGTGAGCAGTTTTCCCAGGTGGTCAAGGAGGGCCCCATCACCTCGGAGCTGCAGGTCACAGGCACCAACAGCCTACGGCAGGCGAAGCCGGACGAGGCAGAAGCGCGGGAAAGTTCCTCCTCTCGTCTCGACTTTACAAGCCTTGCTGTAAACACCAGATCAAGTTGCTGGCCTTTAATCCAAGCCCTCCCTGACAACCTGGAGCTCAAACAGTGAATCTACTGTCACTTCCCTTGCTGTGTTCTTGACCAGTATCGCTACAGACCTTGCNNCTTGTCCGAGTGTTAGTGTCAAAGAAAACACCGGATCCACGATGCCAGGAATGCTTCGGTCAGGGCCTGGAAACGACGATAGCATGTTGCAGAAAAGAATAACGACTTTGGACTAGGACTACGACCGAACAAGCGCAGCGCAAAGTACCAGCCACGTCTTTACCATCACTTTTGCAAGAAAGGCCCGAAAAGGCGAGGTCCAGGGCTCGTTCTCATCATCGACGGCTGGGGTCCTGTGTGTGTGAGATCATCAGGTATCCTCAAAAACATGATTCTAAACCTCAGCTGCTTGGATTGAATCAGAGGGAGAGGAACCCCCTAAGTTGCTTTGTCCAGGTCGCTGAGCTCCTGGAGGGTCCCGTGGAAGAGCCCCAGATGAAGGCTCGACTCGCTGGGCAACCGCGATCAAAATGCTGCAAAAAATGGGAGGGGCAGTGAGGGTTTCTTCGGGTTTAAGTTTGTGCCCAACGAGAGGATATTGACGGTTTGGGGATTGAAATTCTGCAAGAGATGGAATATAGAGACCCTTATATGCCTTACGTAGACCTTACAAATGGAGGATGCACATGGTACTGTACAGAACGACCTTCTTGTGCTAGGGACGTTGGTTGCAGTTGAAGTCCTTTTTTGGGTAAGTAAACGCTACAGCGTGCCTATAGCTGCTGCTTTCAGGGATTCTTCCAATGTCATGGTGGTGTCTTTGTTTGGATCATACAGTCATAGAGTACACAGTCATAGAGTACTGGCTTCGAGATCTGCTCGCCTCGCCAGAGCGTTGTTAAAAGAGAACTCAGGGCCAACCGGAGCGGACAGAGCGGACATCGACAGCGGAGCAGAGCGGAGCAGATGTTGCGATAGCAGGGAGAGAAGAAAAAGAAGAAAGAAGCAAGCAGAAGAAGCCACCGCGCCGCCCCCCCCCCCCCCCCCCCCTTCCCGGCTTCCCGGGCCAGGTCTGGCGAGTTCGCTGCCGTTTCATGGCGGATGGCATGGAGGGCTTCGTGACGCTGCGAGGCGAAGAATGCAGAGAACGACGGGAAGCCAAAGTTTCTTCTACGAGGGTTCTTGAGGGGATGTGACGGGAAAAAGGGCCTTCTTCTGAGTGCGCCTTCTTGTCGGTTTTCTTGTTTTTCTGGTCTTTGCCCGCAAGGAACCGATGGAGTGGCGCACCTCCAGGAGTGTTTCTGGGCGGGCGCCAGTGTTTTGTTCATTCCATTCCCTCCCCAACCCCAACAGTGGCTGCAGGATTGGCGGGCGCTCTTCAAGATCCTCCGCGACGTGCAGCTCACGGAGAAGTTTGAGCGGCCGGTGGAGAAGAAGTACTTGCAGCGAACGTTGGGCCTTGAGGATGAAGAGGACAGGGCTGTCCAAAGGGAGGATGGAGAGCCCGCCAAAGAGCCCGAGATCGAGATCAAGGAAGACGAGAACTTGGTTCTGGAGGAGCCGGAGGAGACCCAAAACTTCGATCCCGAAGATCCGGAGGGAGCCGCAGCAAATGGAGGGGTCCCCTCCCAAGAGGATCCCAACTCCGCGGAGCTCTCCATGCCCGTGGGCTTCCAGCTTTTGAAGCACGTGGACTCCCCAGAGCCCGAGGAGCCCGACGAGGCCCCCCAACGGTAGGATCGGGCATTTTAAGAAGCATGTGCCCCCTATATATACAGGCCTATAAGCCCAAGAAGGCCACGAAAGTGTTATCCTGCCTTGCTTGTCCGAGCGCTTTGTACGGTGTCCTATAAAAGACGTGCACCTGCAGGGCTTCCGGCGTCTGCGCGAGGGTGAGTTGGTGGAAGTGCTGCAGTGGCCTTCGAACCACCTCGAGCCGCTGAGACATGAACGGGCTTAGGCGGCTTAACGTGGAGGCAAGAGGCTAACCGCGGAGAAGGCGTAAAAGGGGATCTTCTGAGCCTCCCCTCACCTCACCGCTGCACCGCTCCCCGAGGTCTGGGCTGACGCGCATGAAGGTTCAAGCCTTGAGCGACGGCTCCGTGGGCTGGATAACGCAGACGAACACAGACGGAATCATCTTTGCCGAACCGCATTGACGCTGAAAAATGCCCATCCTCTCCGGTCTCGTTACATAGTGCTTTCAGTGTCGTCGCATCTGAAGCAGACTCGGCTGCAGCCGTTTGGGCTCCCAGGACATGTGCTATCCAGCCTTCAGCCCGCGGCTTTTGCAGAAGCTTTGGCCGAGAATTTTCATGTTGCTTCCGGCCTGCCCTTTTCAGCCTGCGGCTTGGCAAGCGCAATTCCATGCAAGTCTGTGCAGGACCTTGTGTTTGAAGAGTCCTCAAATTCTTGCGGTTTTGCACGATCCGACTGGGTGCATTGATCAAGAGCTGCAGCTTGGTGACATGACATGTTGTGGCGCGACTCAGCTAATGCAGCGCCGCCTAGGAATCAGCTGCACCATAGGCTTTCTACATCGAGCTCTCGAGGCTCCACATCACAAGTTGACTTCAGCTATGTTTCGGACCTTTCGGACCTATCTCATGTAATTCTAATAGGATGAAGCCATCAGCGCTGGTGGCCCAGCTCGCCTGTCTCGCGTCTGCCCTCGCAAACCCCGGGTCGTACCACAAGCCGTGGGCAACGCATGCTGGCTGCGCCTCGATTGTCCGGCGATTCGACTGGCAGCAGAACACCTCTGAGTCCTTGTACCGGCGATTCCACGCGTGTTTGGCGAGGCGCAAAGACTTACCGGATTGGGCACATAAGAGCCGGCCGGCCTTGTTCTCAGGCGAGCATTATCCAGTATCGGTCGTACCTTCAATAAGCGGGGTGCCTCTGTACTGGATCACCCCAGTTTATGACTACGTCGTCTCGAACTTCATCAGGAAGGAAGGCACCTACGAGCCTATGGAGCTTGAGGTCTTCCGCAATTTGGTGAAAGAGGGTGATGTCGTCTGCGACATAGGCTCACATGTGGGGAGCTACTCCATCCCGTTGGCTTTCCATGTGGGTCAGAATGGTCGTGTACATGCCTTCGAGCCCTTCCGCGTGGTGTTCCAGCTTCTTACAGGAAACGTTGCCATCAATGGGCTCTACAACTTCTACACTCACAACGTGGCACTGGGCGAGAAATCGGAGGTGCTGCGCGTTCAAAGCCCTGCACTGAAACGCTCGAGCAACATAGGTGCCACGAGTGTTTATTACCAGGCGAAGCCGGTCTACGGGGAAAATCATGTTCTGCAGTACGAGGGTGAAGAGTTTGTGAAGGTGGAGACCCTGGACTCTTTCCAGATTGAGCAGGTGCATTTCATGAAGATAGACGTGGAGGGGGCCCTGGACAAGGTTCTGCGCGGAGGCCAGGAGACCATTGAGCGAAATCGGCCGTTGATAGCATGTGAGCATGGTGAGCCGACTGCACCTGAGCTTCTGGTGGCTTGGAGCTACCGCTGCGTTTTGGTCTTGCCTGTGCATGACCTTTGGGTTTGTGTACCTCAGGAAAAGTGGTGGCGATATCGGTGGCTTGAAACAACCGATTTTGGGTATGGGCCCGCAGCAGAAGCAGCTGCTCAGCAAGATGGTGCTCAGGAAGTTCGGAGGAGTACAGATCCACCCAAGCTCTTCCGAGAAGGGGAGGGCATCTACTGATCCAAAGCTCTGCGCAACTACCTGCAGGGGCGAGCTTGAAAAAAAGAGTACTGTAGATGTTGGGAGCAGTCGGAGAAAGAAGTTCAGACGTAAAGTTACGTAAAGCTGTCGAGGAATCGGCTCTTAGCAGCTACCGTTTGCAGCCGAGGTCCCAGCTCCCGAGGGCTCGGCCGCGGAGTGAGAGAAAAACGCACAGAGCGACGGCAGAGGAGAAAAGGCGACTCGAGACCACGACTTCTCCTCAGCGGCGCAGAGCGGCCCGTCTTACTGAGGCCGAAGCTTTCCAAGAGCAAGGGGACAGCATTCAGGCAAACACCTCGCCAGAGGCCTGACCCGTTCGGGTACCTTTCGCAAAGGGCCAAGCAGTAAACAGCCTGAAGTGCACTTGCTCTCGCGGCTGGTTTCTTGCAGCCGTTTTGGCTGCCTTAGACGCGGTCCCAGCGCCCCTGGCTTCACAAGGCCCTGTGCTTGGAGGATGTGGAAGGGGAAGCAGATACAAAATAAATAAATAAATATACAAATATATAAGTATATATAGATATATACATATATATATATATATATTCATATATTCATATATATATATATATTCATATAGGCTAGGGTTCCAGCTTGCTTTTTCCGCGTTGGGGAGCAGTGCCGCAGAGTTCGTCTCTCCTCTCGCTTCGCTGATCCGGATCGGCCTCGATCAGCCTTAGGCCTAGGCCATGATGCAGCTCCCGAGAACAAGGCACGGCTTTGCTGCGAGCGCCCGCTTTGTGGCACTTTCCCAAAGGGCCTGAAGGGTTTGAAGGGCCTGAAGGGCCTGAAAGAAGTCGCTGTAGAAGGGTCACTGATGGGACTGTGTGTCTCACGGAGACAGATGCAGAGCTGCAGAGGACGAGGAGGCCTCTCTCCTGCGGCTTCCTCGCCACATGCTTGTCCCGAGCTGAGAACCGATGCGCCGATGGAGTTTTTGGACAAGCCGACCCTGTGACAGTGTGTCTAGTGACTCTAGTGATGCAACAAGTCAGACTAATCGTTCATGGTGAGACGAAGAACACTACTCAAACTGCAATGGCAATCAGCAAAACAGCAACAACAACCCTGGCAGTACAACCAGGTTGGCCTGCTGCACTTTGCCAGGGCCCTGAGATTCGCTTCTTCGGAGAATGTGGGGGAAGTTGCACGGAGTTTGCCCGAGGTCTGGGACGGGATTTCTGGCACCTGCCCCTCACTCCAGGCCAGTTATAGAAAGGCACCGTAGGGTGATCTCACCTCAGAAGCCCGGTAACCTCTGTACAAAGGGTTATTACTAATTACACAATGACATTGACCGACGAAGGCTTCTAGGGTTTGTAAGAGGAGACATTGCTGCGCGATGCTCTGTCACAGAAACCTGAAGCCGGCGCAGAAGATGCTTTCATCGAGCTCTGAAGGCCCTGGAGGGGTGTGAGGGCAATGGACTGAGTCATGGCATCATGGAGAGGTTTGGGCACCGCTTCTGACGGCTTTGCAGCGATGCGCGGGCCCCTGCATTCACAGGAGTCAGTTGGGAGAGACTGTTCTGCTCAGATGTGGCTCCGCTGCACTCGCAAGCCTCGCGGGAGCATGGGCGCTGGCACGCGGCGGCGGAGAGCCGCCGTACAGGAGAGCCGCAGCCAGCCGCCCGGTGCCGCTGATCATCTTGGCCGGGCAGTGCCTCTCAAGGACACTCTGTCTGGCCAAGAAGAAGAAGGGTGGTGGTGGCGGCGGCGGTGGCGGCGGTGGCGGTGGCGGTGGCGGTGCTGAGGAAGGCTGGGTGTCGGCAAGTGGTTGACAGCAGCTTCGGCCGTGTGCAAGGTCAGTCCTGTGAGGAGCCTTGCGGCAACAAACTCTCGAGGAAGCTGCCCTGAAAGCTTGAGACGGCAGGCGACGTAGACATCGACACCGAGGCCATCGTCGCAGACTTCGAGGACCTGAAGCTGCTGCCTCTTTAGGGGCAGCCGAACCCGCCGGCCTCTTCTGTCACAGGAGAAAATGAAGAAGTCCGTCGTCCTCCTTGAGGATAACCTGAGGACGATCAGAGCCGGAAAGGTGCCAGCTGGTTCTGATGTGCTGAGGCTCTGCCCGCTCTGCCCCAGGCAACACCTTCCCTGTTGGACAGTGTGAAGGCCACAGAGATGTGCAACGCCCTTCACACCTCTAAACTCCTTAATGCCCCGCACAATTCTTGTCCTCCGGAATCCTGCCGTAAGAATCCCTAAGGTCCTGGGATATCTGTGAAGCATGTCTCGTTGAGTCACCCTGATACGACCTCACTAAAAAAGGTTCGTACTTAGCCCTCTGTGCAGGTGAATGCTTACGAGTCCGTTCTGAAACTCGAGGAGGTTGCGACCGTCACCGCCACAGCCCGAGTCGACAGCCCAACCCGGCATTAAGCAAAGCAGATCATATCTATTTGTGTAGCCGTAGATCCGCATGCTGCACGTCAACAAGAATCCTGTTTCTACTTTTGATGTGTACGCACGTAAATATTCATGCATATGCATATACCTAGTTATACAATATAAATGCATGTATTATACAGTTATACATATATATATATATACATGCGCATGGTCTTACATGGCATAAACAAACGGACAGACAAGCCGTATGCCACTTAGAGGTTTAGCACATTACGGTGTGCCAACAAAGGCAAGTCTGCACAGATGGATAGTTAGACAAACACAATTACGGGGAAAACGATAGATCGGTCGAGAGATAAACAACACCAGCCAGCCAGCCAGCCAGCCAGCCAGCCAGCCAGCCAGACAGACAGACAGACAGACAGACAGACAGACAAACACTGATACAGACATATACACCTGCATGCCGGTGTGTGTTTGTGGGTGTGTCTGTGTGTATTTCGTCATGCATGCAGGCATGGGTGGGTGGATGTATACTTGTGTATGTATGCATGTATGTACGTACGCAGGTACGTACCCACGCATGCACGTGCGCATGTAGGTATGTGTATGTACATGTATATGCATATGCATATGTATGTATATATATATACATACAAATGTAGATGTATATGTTTATGTATATGTAGTTTTATACACATCTGTATATATGTACATTCAAATATACATACACACACACGCATGTGCTGTGCGTGTGTCGGCCTATTTATCTGTCTACATGTCTACCTTTCTACCTATCCACCCATGTTCTATCCATCTATCTATCTGTCTGTCCATTTATCCATCCGTCCATGCAGCTCTCCAGCTATCTGTCTAACCATCTGTCCATCCATGCCTGGATATTTGTCTACCTGTGTCTTGTCCATGTCTTCCTATATTATCTGTATCTCTCTTTCCACCTATATCTTTATCCCGAGCCCGGTCTATCACAGTCTCCATCATTTTCTTTGGCTGCATCGTATCGCTGACTCTATCTGCTTGTTTATCTGTGTGCTTGTCTATCTATCTATCTATCTAGCTATCTGTCTACCTATCTACCTATCTACCTATCTGCCTATCCACGTATCTACCTAACTACCTATCTATCTATCTACCTACCTATCCATCTAGCTATCTGTCTATCTGTCTACTTACCT